TTTCTAAGCAAATTAGAAAAGGATGAAATAAATAAAGACATTTTGATCTTATGAAGAAATCCAAAAAAGAAAGTGAATTTTTTTCTCTATTTTAAAATGGTTAGATGGAGAAGATAAGTTGAATCATGAAAGACACGAAAAAGTATTTCTGCTGTGAAAAAGTTAGAAAAACAATATCCACTTTTCAACCAGCAAGAAATCAGGGTTGGCTAAATGCAGAAAAAGTTAAAATTAAGACCAGCCACAAGATGATCTTCATAATCTATCGCTTCGGTCTACCTGTCCAGGACGAGACAACCGGCATCCAAGAATTGAACGTTGTATGGTGTCTGCACTCACTGTGCGGCCCCCAACATTATACGCAGCCTGCATGATGCAACAGCATGGCTGAATTAGGAAACTGTCAACACTTTCAACATACTCCATAAACAAGATATTCTTTTTTTAACCTTCAATAGCAGAAAGAGTCTCTTCACATTGTTTTGTGGAATACCATATGCCAAAAATGCCTGTCAGAAACAAAAGAAGAAAACTTATTACGATCCACTAGCATCAGAAATAGGAACTAATCAATGAAAACAATTACATGCATCACTAGTGCGTTGTGTATGTTAATCCAGAAAGCAAGCTTCTCTTCATGTTTCAACTTCCTAGGGTCCACTTCTTCCAATCGACTGATAAGCAACCTGCATCAGGATAACTCAAATGAGTGGCTCTTACGTGATTCCTAATTTCCTAGAAAACCAAAATCACAAAGCCTTGCCTGAAGTTTTCTAGCAAGTGTTCAACATCACCCAGCTTTTGACTATCTCTGTAAATCCATTGTACGTCAACCATTGTGCTGTACGGTCCACTAAACTCTTTAAGTCCTTCCACATGAAAAGGATTATCTAACCGCACATCAAAAGATGAATTGTTTCTAAATCCAGGACTCCACATATCATACTGATCCTGTGGTGAAAATGCACTTATTGATGATAAAGATGAACTAGGAGATGAAAGGCCATGGTTTGTCACTGGTGGGTCGGCAAGCTTGCAAAGTATAGCTGACATGCACCTGACCATTTCCTCAGAAAGCTTGTTAGGTGTTTCTGGAACATGGTCGGAAATACGAGTCCCAAGATGCTCAGCCAGACTAATTATATTTGCCGAATTCTGAGCATACTGTAAAAACAGCAGCTGAAAGTTACCATCTAGCAAGCTGAGCTCTCCAAATTACTAGCTATGCATCAAAATGATTATGAGTGCAATATCAGCTTGATGGCTGAACTCCACCATCTCAGGACTGTGGACATTCCTTCACCATTTAGCTATAAGGTATGTCCTTTGATTTATGGCAAGCAATTATAGAATTCATCATGCTTTAATGCAGTGCGGAATATTGAGATAACTGTAACAAAAGATACAGTACATAATAAAACAAAAAATAGTGGATCACTTACAGAAAATTTATTTACCTCCATCATGGACAATGGTTGAGAATGGCAGGCACGTACAGCTCTGGCCATGGAGTCTTCCAGAGGAGTTGTAATAAAAGATGAAGAATATTGAGAAAGAGATGAGTGACAACAATGAACACTGGAATCCAATTGCTTCTCTTCTCTTCCAGTAACACTAGATTCCTTCATTGGATTCTTGAGTGACTGGTAACCAGACAGAGTGGCAGAGTTTTCCTTTTTTGAAGGGGTATCAAGTCTAGAAGTTTCCAGGAAGCTGCCTCTTGGGGTATCCAAAGGCAACTTTAACCTCTTATCCTTTGAAATTGGGGAAACTGTCGATATTTGTTGTTCAAATGCTTTTCGGTATAATGAGAGAAGATAGTGTTCCAGATGTACAACTTCCAACTCTAGCACCGCAATTTCCTTAATTATCTCTGTGGCTGGCTGGAATTGGATGAATGTAGCTTGTGAATATAAGGCAAGAAAC